CTGCTGAACAGACTTTCAACCGGTCGAGTTTACTCAGATACATCAGGTTGTGTGCGGTATGTTCTGCGTAGTGATGGCTGGGACTCTGTACACAAAGAGGAAACACTGAACAGTAGCGCACAACTCCTACCACCTTTCCTCAACTCAGTTCAAATCGAGTTTGAGGCAGCAGCCAACTCCAATGAGCAATTCCAGGTATTTAGATAGAGATGCACTTGCCACATAACGGATACAGCGAGTACAGTACATTACAAACAGTGCTATTCAAGGTCACAGTAACAAAAAAAAAAAGACAGAATTGCCAATAGACATTTTCCACTGTACAGGAACCTGTACACGATAGCACTTTCCAAGGCTTTAGCGAAGCATACGTTAGGCGCCGATATGCTATACAGTGCAATTTAAGAGTTATATTGTATGCAACATGGACAATAGTGCACTTAAATCGCCACATTCAAAAGTGAGATCCATACAATCAGAATATCGAAGGTACACATTTCCCTTTCCCTTGACTCAACTGTGCAAGTTCATTCTGGTTTTGGTAAATGGACACGTGCGCCCACACCAGATGCTCTACCTTGCTGAGGTCCAAGGGCTCCGTGTGCAGCTTGTTATTACACAGATAAAGCAGATCTATGCACAAAAGGAGCATTGAAACACCTGTCTCAGTGACAGCACAGGGCAGCGCCGGGCTAAAAACCAATGCTTGGGCATGAGAACGTGCAAGGCTTACAGATCAGGTAGAACATGGAGGGGAGGGAACTACTCCTTGCACCAGACAGCACTTCAGCTCTTTCATGGGGCAACAGCTGTGCAGGTAACTGGGTTTAGCCTGCTTGACTCGAGCAGAGGAAGAGTGCTGGTCATAAGTATTTAAATATGGGACTTGAGACGATGAAAAAAAAGGTAAAGAGAAGGGTTGGGGAAGAATTGAAGGATCCCATTCTGGTTTATCCATGACCACCACACCCCGAAGCCTAGAGACTGGCCATGAAGAGAAGGCTACTAGAGGAGATATGTATGCAAGCCACCATGACAACCCAAAGAACAATCTCCTCTTATGGATGAAGGTTGAAAAAAAGCGCTGAACACATTGGTTCTGATCCAGCATGGCAAAGGAATTGGGAAGTTGGCTATTTCAATGGCAAGAAGTTCCTCCTTCTCTTGACTTTTGTGTTGCTGCGAACAAAGGATGAACTAATGGGAACAATAAAAAAGCAGAGATTGAAACCACTTTAGTGCTTTAATAACTTTAAGACTTTGGTGGCAAACACATGCTAAGTTAGGGCAGACACCCAGTGGCACCTGAGGGTTGAATCAGTTCAGCAGCACAGGTTTGGGGTGAAATGCAAGTGCAGCGTGAAAATGTTGCGTCTTTCGCTAGCCGTCACAGCTGGTTACCCAATTTTTTTTTTCAGATGCACGTAGTTTGCATGAGAAGGCGGAACAGCCAGGCAATTAGAGAAAAAAAATTGCTGTGCTGCTGCGTATTATTTAGCTCAGTGTATAATTATTACATTAGGAAATTACACAGCCTTTAAAAGTGTGTTTTATGTCTGGTCCAGGGAGAAAAAAAAAATAATTTGCCTCTGAATCGTTCCAATCTGGCTGGTAATTACACATTTCACTCATATCCATAGTAACAGAGTTCTGAAACACTGGTTTATAAGACCCAAGACCTGCAGTTGGGCAGATGTGGACAATGCCCCCGTGAATGCAGAATAACTAGTGGTTTGGGGCGTGCAGGGGTTTGGTTTTTTTTGGGGGGGGTGGGGCGGCTCAACTTGGAGGGCAATGTTCAGCACTCACAAACCATCAGGCCATTTGCACGTGTCAAGCTGGGTGCCCAGGATGACTAGTCATTCTGGAAGACCTTGTCCTTGCATGCCCCAAGTTTGAGTATCAAAGGCATTTCCTCCCCCTCAAATCAAGTAGTGATAGATACTACAGACTATGCCCAAATTCTACCCCTTCCAAAAAACAGAAACTACCCAATTCAATTAAAAACAGGCAGCCTGAAAGATAAAGACAAGCACAGATTAAAAACAACACAAAAAAACAAAAAACACCAATTGTCCTAAATGGCCAAGTTAAATTTTGCAATAGGAACAGTTGGGACTAAATTTAGATCAGTCCAAAACAAAAATATTCCAGAGAGAAAAGGAGCTAATTTTTAAAAGCTATAAAGGTAATAAATTAAGAGGCACTGTCAAATAACTCTAAACAACATTTCTTGAATATTGGGCACAATTTTAAGAACATATTTACTACTTGAAAGGGTTTGTTTCTTTTTGCATCAGGCTACATTTAAAGTTAGTGTTAATATTGTGAAAGTGACTTTTTAGTTAAAGGCAGCTTCATTCCAAGAGAAAAATCAAATATTGTGGCTCGGCGAGTTCAACACAGTTGAAAATGTCAGAACAGGATTTTCAGGTGACCTCTGCTGTCTTAATTCTGTTTGCAATGAATTCAAAAAGGAAGAGAGGCCAACGTTGAGGAGCTTCCTTCCTGTTTTATTTCACTGAAGTCTCCTACACCTTTGCCTCAGTCATTTTAAAAACTACACAACTGAACCCAGCAGAACAACTGTCTAGATAAATCTAATATTAAATGTTTGGTCATGGATGCTGTTATGGAAAAGGAAAAATGCGGAGGAAAAGCAGGGGGAGCTGCAGGAATCCAAAAAAGAAGCATTAAAGTAGGAAAAGCTGACACCTGCAAAGCCTACAAGCCCTTTTAGCAGCCATAAAAGATACACAACCATTAACATCGTTATAGTTTGAACAAATTTTTAAATCACTAACAGGTTTCTAATACGTGCTAGATCACCTTCAACTCCAAGTTCTGCTTCTTGTCTTGTTTGCCAAAGTATGCAAAAGGCATAAGCGGGAGCACGAGAGAGGAAACCAAGCTGTTTTGCTGAGGTGCTCTTTAAAAGTTAGTTACCACAATGATTTTGTACCTTGGCAACACAATGAATCAGTTCAAACCTTTAAGAAGGTCAGTGCAATCCAAACATCCAAGAACGGCAGTGCAGCTTTGGGGTACCACTACAATCAACAAATGAAGCCGACCTTTTGGTCTTCCAGGTGGGAGATGAAATAGTTATCCCTTCGTAGACAGTTGTCCAGACAGGCCATCCAACTAGAAGTCCAGGCAGAGAGATTGGCAGGAAAAATGCTTACTGTACTGCATACAAACTTCTAGCCCTGGCTCTATATTCAAGCAACCCCCTTCTCCGTGTCAACTCCTAATGCAAATGCTGTGTACATCTAATTGGCAAAGGCAATAGGCAGCTTATACCGTTTCCTGTTCCTCGCTTTCTTTCCGGATAGCAGGAACACAGAACACATGGCACCCTTGCATCAAAGCTACATTAAGTGAGCACTGCTGAGTGAGCACACCTGCTATGGAAAAAGGTGTTTTTAGACAAAACACCTCATTTTCAGAGTGGGAAAGGAGCCAATATTCTGGCCAACGGAGTGTTTTGGGTCTAACAAAACCAAAAAAAAAAAAAGGGTCCCCAAATTAAACCTGAAATAACCATCTCTCAGCCCACATTGGTCACCTGCACAAAAGGTGTGAGGGAGGTAAGAGCTGCAGCTTATGCTGAAACTGTACACAATTTATTAGAGGCAGAAAAGCTGCCAGGAGCGGATGCCATGCCGAACCGTGTACATCTTCTGTAAACAACACGACACGAAGCCCACCGCCCACGTGGCAGGCTGTATACGGTGTGAAGGGAGGGTTTCAGCACTGGAGGGTTGAAGGTCATTGCACTGGAGGTTCTGCATGCACATTCCGTGTTTAGTCTTTAGTGTTAGGGAGAGGTGAAAATAAAGACCTGCTGTCCAAAGCCTTGCAAGATCAAGGGCTCTCCTGCATCCCGTCATCCGTTTCCAGTTCTGCTAACTGCCGCCTCAGGGCGTTGACTTTGGCCTGAAGTTCCCTGTTGTACTCAATGATGTTGATCATTTCTTCGTAGGCTTCGTCCAGAAACTTGGAGGACCTGTTCCAACGGAGAAAGACACCTACGACCCCAAAGAGATGGGGAAGTCAGAATGGACTCGCAATACCTGGAGTAAACTACTACTTAATAGTTACACAGATTTCAGAGGGTCACAAGCCATCGGTTGAGAAATGCTGATCCCGGGAAAGCTCCGAGACTGCGGCAGGGCAGAGTGGCGGGGGAGAGCTGCAAGGCCAGGTCGGGTGCTCGCAGGGGTGGGGCGGCTGGGAGATGATGTTCAGGGGGTGGAAGGGGCCATGACCAGGCTGCCGAGCACAGTGCAGGAGCCCCAGCCCAGGGTTGGGGCTGCTACATGCCTCCCTCCTCCTTCCTCCAGCCCGTGCCAGGGCTGGACTCGCTCCACTGCTGCCTGCATGAGCCGGAGCCACCATGCTCCAGCCCAAGCAGGACAGGGGCAGCTGTGGGTCCCTCCGGCAGGGTTGGAGGGTCAAGAGTGAAGGACACCAGCATGGGTGGGAGGAGGGGACTGTGGGTCAGGGACCAGCAGGCCCAGAAGGTGTGGGTCGGGACAGGCCATGAACCTTTGCAAATGGGTCCCAGTAGGTAAAAGGTTGAGAACCACTACCGTAAGCAATGCTTTGAGCATAGAACCAGACAACGGACTGACTCTTTCACCTTTTTCAAAAAGGGTGTGATCAGAGATCCAAGCTAAGACCTTTCTTTCCATGTGGATTGATCAGACAGAGCAATGCTCAGTTTCTACCACAGAAAAGGATGACATTAAGCTACAGGATGTAAGAACATAAAAACTGCCATGCACTAGGTCAGACCATAGGTCCATCTTGCCCAGTCTCCTGTATCACACAGTGGCAGAGGGTGGATGCTGAAAGGGAAGGTGAACTGGGCATGACCCAGGGTTTTTCCCTGTTCCTCGCCCATTTGCAGCCTCCAGCATTTAGGGACTAGGCTGATTCAGGGGTTGTCCCCCATAATTCCCCCAGGCTCAATAGCTACTGATGCCCCTTTCCTCCAATAATTTGTCCAATCCCTTTTTTAATCTGCGTACACTGTCAGCTTCCATAGCGTCTGGTGGCAATGAGTTCAGAAACTTCAATTACACGCCGTGTGAAAAATAAATTCCTTTTGTTAATTTTAAACACTCCCTACCAGTTTCATTGCAACCCGTAGTTCTAGTATTGTGAGAGATGGTACATAAATACCTCTTTACTTTCTCTTCACCTCTTGGTATTTTGTAAACCCTCATGTTCCCCTTTAAGTGTCTCTTCTCTAAAGCAAACAGGCCTTGCCACTTTAGTGTCTCCTCCTATGGAAGCCCCTCCAAACCACTAGTCATCCTTGTTGCCCTTCTCTGGACCTTCTCTAGTTCTTCTATATGCTTTTGGAGGTGTGGGGACTACAACTGGGCACACTGTGCAAGGTGTGGATGCACCACGGATTTATAACAGGGGAATAATGATACTTTCAGTTTTGTTTACAATTTCCTTTTAATAATTCCTAACGTTGTTTGCCTTTTTAATGGTGACTGAGCATTGAGCCGATATTTTTAGTGAACTGTCCAGTGACACTTAGATCTCTTTCCTCCATAGTAACACCTAATGTTGAGCCCATCATAGGGCAGGTATAGCTTGAGTTATTTTTGCCCACAGGCACCACTTTCTCCTTTGTAAAATGAAGTGAATGATCAGAGATCTAAAAACGAACACTTCTTTCCATGCAGACAAATCAGACAGACCAATGCCCATGCACCATCCCAGAAAGGATGAAAAGTGAAGCTACAGTAATTTAGCTCTTCAGTAAAGCCAGGATGTGTGCTTAGAGGTGAAATTGTGGGCACAGAGAAAAGGCATTAGGAAAGAACAAATTGGGAGGTTTTGTTTGCAACTTAAAACTACCCACTACAGATTAAAGTAATCCCGGTTTACCTTCCCAGAGCTGCAGGCTCTGCGGTGCGACAGAAGGCCAGATGACGAGACTGTTGGCCTCAAAGAGAGGATTCTTAAATCGGCTCAGTTCTGGAGGCCGATTCACCCAGGACCACAGAGACATGGTTTTCTGCGGCAGCTTCAGCTTACACCTGGCATAGGCAAAACCATCCGGTTGGTTACCTTTCCTATTCAGTGCTGCAACATCACATCTGTTAACCCACGACTTTCACAAGCCACTCACGCTGAGAACTGAGGGGACTCTGACCGACTGTCCGTGACAGACATGGCGTTGCCACGTCATACTTGTAGACCAATGTGGTCCATTCTTCACAGATAATTTCCTACCATTACAAACAGCAGATGACAGGTCTTACACAGGCAGAGGGGGAGAGTGGTCACCTTCCACTTCTGAAAAGCACACCTCCCTGAACTGGCCTAGCACCCAGTTTTGATTTTTGAAAGGGACTGGATTTGCATTTTACTACCAAAAGAAATATGCGTGGTGGGAAGGAATCTAGGCACAGGATCACAGTGCAATTCCTAGGGAAAATGGAAGTGCCATTATTACCATTAGTGAATAAGAGACATGTTACATAGCAGGGGTGTCAAACTCATCTGGCTCTGAAGGTTGGACAAGTGGTATGGGGCTGATCCACAGGCTGGATCAAATCCACAGACTGGCCCTGCATGCTGGATCCAGCGTGCATCCTGGAGTGGCTGGAGTGGATGCCACATGTGGAGGGGTCCTGCTTTGGCTGCTCCAGGGCTGTGCTGCACAGTGGCAGTTCTACTGCTCCAGGACATGAGCTGCAGCAGGTACCACATGGGTGTTTGCCTGCCCGCCCACCCCCCAACACATGCTGCCTGTGGGTCAACTCCAAGACCCACAGACAGCACCAGGCGCTGGATAACAAGGCTCTGAGGACTAGATCTGGCCTACAGGACACATCTTTGACACCCCCATTTTACGGGTTTTCTCTTGTGATGGAAAGCAAATCACACACTGTCCAACTAAAGCAGCTCCACAAGTAAGAGCTTTCAGAGTTTGCTCTCATTAAACAGGCACTGGATCAAACAACAGAAACAGAGTGTGACCCTATCTCGGGTCACAGCCACTCTGGAGAGACATACAAGGCGGCCGTCCTTATCTCACACCTCGGCACCTCTTGCTTGGCTTGCCATGGCTAAATAGCTACCAGTGAAGTGAACCATGCCCTTTGTGCAGGGTTACAATCCACACAACTGCTTTAGACAGTCCAGAAAGCTGAAACCCATTTTAACTGGACTTCAAGCGTTTCCTATGCTAATACATAGGCATGAATGTGGACGCCATCCGACGGGAGATGGTTCTAGGGAGGATTATAGTGCTCTTTTCATCCGGCGTTTTAGCCCAGTACAGGATGTGCTTTATTTTGCTCTAAATTGGATTCTGTTTTCCAGAACACTAGCCTAGAAACCCTGCAAAACACACTGCAAACCCTCTTCAAGGCAAGCTAAGATTTCCAGTAAAATCCAATAAAGATTTCCAGACCTCCTCCACTTACTGCTGCACTGCATGCATCCAGGCTTGGCAACTGTAGAGGGTGGCTTTGCAGGGTCCCAACTTCTTCCCCCAGCATCCCAGGGCAGAGTGCCCAAGACCCGCACCAAGGCAGGCATTCAGAAGCCTATTCAGTCATTTACTCTGCCCACCCACTCGACCTGGGGCAGACTCATTTCTCAGCAGCAGACTCATGGAGAGAGGCAGGTAGATACACACGGATTAAAATCCTCTGCATCTTTCCTTCACTTAAAATTTGCTGTTTCTTCTGCTCACCGCCAGCCACTGGCTTCAGCCAGGGGTGGGAAAATACAGCCCATGAGCCAGAACTGGCTTACCAACTGATAGGATCTGGGCCACAGGGGACACCAGCCAATTGATTGGGTTTGGTCTGCAGCTGCCCCTGAAGCTCTTTGCATGGGGCCAAACCCCTTCCGAGGCAATCAGTGCTGCGCTCCTGCCCACCATCCCTAGCCTGCACGCACAGCTTCTGGCAGGGCTTTTTCCGGTGAGACTGCAGTCACCCAGGTCCTGCTTGGCTCCCCTTGCCTCCAGCAGCTGCTCCTCCTGCTTTGCTGCTCCAGGCCAGGAGGAAGCTTCAGCTGGGAGGCTCCAGGTGGTGGGGCAGAAGCTGCCCAGCTGAAGCTCCCGGCTGCCTTCTAGCCCACTTGGCTGCCTGTGCTGGGTTGGGGGAGTGGATGGAGGGCAGCTGGAAGCTGAAGCCAGGGCCTCACATGCTGGAGCAGGTGCTGCCTGGCTGAAGTTTCCTCCCAGCCCAGAGCAGCACAGCAGGAGCTGCTGCTCGAGGCAAGGGGAACTGAGCAGCACTAGGGTGGCTGCAGCCACACTGGGAGCAGCCACACCAGTAAGCTGTGTGCGCTGGCTGGAGCCAGGCCAGTGGGCATGGGCTGCCTCAGGCAGGGCTCAGCCCCATGTGGAGTGCTGTGGGGGCATCTACAGACCACACTGCCCGGGTGAACTCTGCTGAACCCCTGCCCCCTTCTTCCCCTCACTCCCAGGACCTAGTGCCCAGGCAGCTCCCACCCCCGACCCCACATGTGCCCACACCCTGCCCTGTGGTCCCAGCCTTTCCTACCCATCCTGCTCCGAAACATTGCTCAACACGCACCCACAGCCCCATCCCACATAGAGAGTTCTGATGAGTTGTTGCAGGAGAAAGGGAGGGAAGAGGGGGAAAATGTACTGACCTGGCCTGCAACAACTCATCAAAACTCCCTGTGTGCCCCCAGGCCCAAATAACTGCTCACCCCTGCCCTAGGCCCTAATCTCCAGCCAGCTAAAACAACTAGATTACCTTAAAGGCCTGGATCAAACCCAGAGAGGACAGTCTCAACCATTTCAGCGCAAGCCTCCTTTACAGCTTCTGTCCTGCAAAGCAGCCTTCACACCTCATCTTTCACATAAACACAAAAGAACCTTTTCCCTGTGCCTCTTTTCTTATGTGGCCTCTGTCGTTATTTACTTGTGTAAAAGGTTTTGGAATAGTTGCCCTGCAAGAAGCTATATGTTAAAGCTACTGATGGAGACGTTCCAAGATGATTTGGGGGAGGGTGGGGAATACAGGCAGGAAAGGATGATCTAGTTCAGTACCAGCCTATGATGTGATACAGCAGGGAACTGAAGGCAGCGCTGCCACAGACTTCCGCACTTTGTCTCTCTGTGCTTCTGTTTCCCACTGGAAAGTGAGGACGAGAGCACTTCCCTACTTCACAAGAGGTGCTGGAAGGCTAAATGCATTACTTTTGCTGGGAGTTTAGATCCTGCAGCAATTGAGCTCAGATACACACTTAAAATAAAATGAAGGAACCTGTCTTAAGTGAAGATGACTGAAATATCCTAGATGATTTCAAAAGGCTCCACAGCATTAAGAAGAGACAAGGGCAAGCCCATCCCTCCTTCAGGCTGCTGGAACATTTCCCTAGGATGGATGTGGCCTGACACTGAGGAGTGTCAAATAACCATCCCAACTAACCTTTCATTTTCATTGTTGCCCAGGAACGTCCCAAACTGTGAGGCATAGGCGTGTTCGAAGAGCATGATGAGAAAGTGTTCGCTGAACTCGAAAGAGCAAGGGAACTGCCGGAGGATCTGCCACACACAGTCCAAGAAGAGCAGGAATACAGGGGCCTCCCATTTCTGCTTGCTGTTGGAGTAGGCTGACTGCGCACAGCGCTGCTGGAATGGGTGACCTGCCTGTGAGCAAGGATGGGAAGAACATCCTGTCAGAAAAGCAATAGTGTCGAGATGCAGAACCAAGATATTTCTGCACAACGCGTTCTGTCCCCAAGACCATGCCACGCTCCACTCAGTGTTACAGTGGCAATCCGGCTTCAAGCTCCTGGTAGCCCAAATCTGACATACTTTTCAGCAGCATAGGAGTCATGTAAGTAGTGTCCCGTACTATGAGACTACAGAATACATGCTGCAGGGAATTTGGCTGAGGACAAAACTGCTGTTTGCACAAAAAAGAAATGCCAGGTTGAAAAAACAGGCTGCAATAATCTATGCACAGCAGAACATGTCATCACATTTCTGACTAGAGCAATGTCCTCAACATAGCAGATGAGGAAGTCTTGTGTTGACGGTACTGAGAAGGAAAAAAAAAGAAAAATCACATGCAAAGCAGGTCGGAAGGGCCAGCTGAACTGGCAGACTGCTACAGCCAGTGCCCTAAGGAGCAAGACAGTGTTAATAATGGTGTTGCTCTTAGTTGCACAGCACCTGGGACTGTGCAACTCAACACATTTGTGGCCCTTTAAAATCTACTACAGTACACGTCCAGGTGTTTCTTCTTAGCTCCCAGCCCCACTGCCATACCTTTTTGTTTCATACACACACACACACACACTTTCCCTGGTGTCACTTAGACTGCATCTCTTACCTGAAGCCACTCCCGCTCAACAAGAGACTGAAACCCACGGATGGTCCTGCACCTGGGATCCAAAATGATCTGAGCCAGTGAAGTTACCTGCAGCGTTGAATCGGTTCCTTCAGTCCCATGAACCAACACAGATGCTCCTTCCCTGGGAGGAAATACAACAGGGCAAAAACTTTACAGATGCCAAATACAGACAGTGGAGCCTCAAAGCACATCACCAGCCCCACTGCTGCATGCAGAGACAACAGTGGGTAGCTTTCCAGCCCTCGGCCCATGGCTGCTCTCTCACTCATATTTCTCCCCAGGCACGGGGGTGAAAAAAAAGTAGTATTGCACGAGAATAAATAAATACATTATGTTTTTATATTTGATATATTATACCTTTTCCAGCCCCAAATCATCCCACCATATTAAGTGTTCTACCCACATGCTCAGGAAATCCAGAATTTGTCAGGCACACAGAAGATAACCCATCAATTCAGGACCCACTTAGCTGGATTTATACCGCTAAGTACTTATCTCCAGTCCAATAGAAAACAAAACAGGAAGTCAAGCAGCTCTGCCAGGCCATCAAGGATTTTACTGGGATGAACTGGCACTCTGAACCTTCCCCTGACGAGGGTCAAATGAGAATCAGGTCTGTGGGGGCTCTACAGATACCGCACACACTGAATGCACCTGGTCTACAGACACTCAACACAACAGGGCTCCCACTCCAGACTGTACTGGATATCCAGATGCCCCAAAGAGGAACTGTGCATCAGACAGGGACAGCCAGTTAGAGCTGGCTCAGTTTATGAAGGCATAAAAACATTCTTCTGGCCAAATCGCTTAGCTTTGACCAAGAACGGAGCACGATTCATAATACCGTTTTCAGCAAAGATGGATCAAAAGAATGACATGAAGTGCTGAGGGAAGGACAGTGAAACCAGCGGAGTAATTCTTGGCCCATGGCTCAGATTCCACGTACTGCTCATTCCCCAACCTCCAAATGCACTTTTCAGGACAGCTGATTCCCTTTCCCCAACTCTGTTCTATATTTCAGTTCTGGTAAGTGCCCTTCAACAGCCTCAAGTCTCATATTCAATGTTCTGGGAAGTCACTTTAACAATGCGTTCTCCTCCCCTGCATGTCTGGATGAAAACACTTATTTGTCCCAAATTTCTTTTGGCTGGGGAAAAAGATAATCACAGGCTGTAGTTGTTCCAATGCAGAGGTCCAAACTGAGTTACAAATCATCTGGAAATAAAAATGATCCATCAAGTGAGTGCCAGTGACTTTGCAGCTACTGCTACTCCTTGTTTTAAAGCAGAGAGCATAAAAATGTAACCTGCGTACATAGTTATGCTTCTGGCTGCACCTAGCACAGCACACCCGAAAGGAAGTGATTACATTTAGGATCAAAGGAACCCTGATGTAAAGCAAACAGAAAAAAAAATGGCATTTAATAGTTTCAACCCAAAAAGCCACTGCAGCAGGGGTGGGCAATTATTTCGGGAGGAGGGCCGCTTACAGAGTTTTGGCAAGCCATCGAGGGCTGCATGACAGGCAGCCAGGGGCAGATACATATTAATTTTCTAAGTTTTCTAGAGACACCGCGGGCTGGATAGAAAGACCTGTTGGGCCGCATCCAGCCCGCAGGCTGCATTCTGCCCACCCCTGCATTGCAGTAACATTTCTGCTCCACTGCAAATGGAGAGGCTAATTGCGGAGTGCACAGAATGACGTGAAAACAATGTTAATCTAATCTGGCACCTTTCTTCCTACAGGGCAGCAAGACAATACACAATACTAGGTGTGCACCAATAAGAGATTTTTTGGGCTGATACCAATGGCCAATTTTTAGTGAGCCATATTGCCGATACCAATCCGATTCTGATATGCAGCCAGGCAGCTTGGAGAGTGGCGTCCAGCTGGTAAGTTTGTTGTATGGCAATGGGCGAGGGGGGAGGGAAGGGGGCAGATCGAGCCCCTCGTGGTGAGTGGGACTGGGGCAGGCGCTGCATGGCCAGGGAGGGCACAGGACAGAGCCGTGAGCCGCTGATCCCGGGGGTGCGGGGAAGAGGCAGCTCCCGCCACTGCACGCATCCCAGAATGGCATGGGGGGGGGGGCCCCCGATCTGCATGTGGGGCAACAGCGGGCTGGGAGGGGCTGCACTAGGCTCTTCCCGGCAGGGGTGTTGGGCCCGGCTGCGCTCGATGCAGGCAGCAGCGGCACTAGGAGGAAGATTATGAGGGGCGGGGCTGCAGCGACCCCAAAATTTGCTGTAGCCCCCCTCCCAGCGCCACTGCTGGCCGCCCTAAGTGCAGGCCGGCCCAGCCCCCCTCTGGGAACAGCCTGGCACCGCCCCAGCTCCAGTCTGCAGCAGCGGCCTGCACTCACCCCACATGCAGACTGGGGGCACGTGCCCCTCATGCCCTCCCAGGATGTGTGCAGTGGTGGCAGCCACTCCCTCCCCATGCCTCCCAGATGAGCCACTCGCAGCTTTATCCCGTGCCAGCCCTGGCTGTGTGGCACCTGCCCCAGCCCCACTCTCTCCCTCACAGAGGGGGATCTCAATCTGCCCATGCCCATTCCCTCACAACAGACTTACCAGCCAGACCCGGCTGCTCTCGACTCTGCCGGGCTGCGGTCCTGGCTACGTGCACGCTGCACTGCGGCTGCACACATGCACGGGGCGTTTATCGGCCACATCAGCCCAAAAAAAGCCAGTTGTCGAAACTGTCAATTTTCCTTACATCAGTGCTGATCCGATATGGGACTGATGCATCAGTGCACCTCTAAACAATACATCTTCCACCACCCTTGCTGTGGAGACCATACAATGAAAACGCCCGTCCATTCCACAGTAATCACTAGCTTCTCAAACGGGCTTCCCGCACATCTGCCCGAGAGCTCCCTTTGTGGCTGTTAAGAACATAAATGGCTCCATCGCATTCACAAACTGAAAGTCCTACAATGATGTTTCTCCATAACAAACTCAGAAGACAGCAACCACCCTCCAAAGACAAATTTATGCCAGTGTCAGACCTGCTAGGTGCTTACTTTTTATTTTCACAGGGGGAGGGGCCTAAAATGATGGACATGTAGAAAGTTTTAGGCATTTTACAGCCCTCTTCCAAGGGGTGGGAAGAGCCCTCAGGCCCCCACGTACTTAGCTCCTATGGACAGAGATGTACTAAGCCACAGGACAGATTTCCAAAAGAAGCAAGAAAAGCCCTGCTGTTCTAGACACTTAAACTTACACTGGGCACTGAAGGCAAGCTCAGTAGAAAGGCAAGTCCTCAGTCTGCAGAGGTTCAAGCCTAACCATGTAGCAGCATGCTGTCACACCGGTGGTAGTACCCTACCATTTCTCTGCGATGAAACAAGTAATGAAGCTGGACGAAACACTACAAGTACAGACCAAATCTTGACTAGGTGACCCATATAAGTCATGATAATTTGCCCAGGCTTGTACTAGTAAGAGTGAGATCTGGCCTACTGGGGAAGTACTCCTTAAGAGTGATGATAAAATGGTTTCTGGTGCCGATAGAAACATGCAAGCAGGACAGCAGTGAATCGCTACAGCTGCCTCAAAGGAATAAGGGCATTTAACAAGCAGCAATGCAGCCAGTGACTGAGAATCACCAGGCTTTGAGACATCATTTACCTGTCAATGCACTGAGCAGCCAGACAAGCTGCAGTCAGTATCTCCTTGATGTGAGTCAGCCAGTTGGAGGCCTCCAGTTTGCTGAGCCAGCGATCCATGTTGTGCGACTGGTCATTACAAGCTTCCACAAGTTTGATGAGACTTTCCTGCAGGATGTTATATCTTTGGAAAGAGCAAAGGTTGTCAGTCTTTAAAACAATATTATTGTAACTACTTGCATGCCTCCTGCTTGCTCTCAAATGTGCAAGATGGCCAATTAAATGCAGAAACTAAACACTAACGATGAAGTGCTCAACGTGATGGCAGATCTGCTGTGACAGAGAACTCCTAGTCAAGGCATGATGTGTGAACAGGAATGCCTAAACTGGATCCAGTCCTCTTAAAAACGGGATTTTCCACCCTGAAACATGCCTGTTAAAACAGCACTTCCTGTGCGTGGTCTTTAATATCCATTGACTTGACCGACTCAGGTTTTTACTACAGGCAACACAACAGAATCAATACAGCTAAAGAAGAGCTAAACTGTTGTCTGCCATGTGCAGCAACAGAGGTCCTAACCAAGCTTCAAAAGCAGCATCTTTTTTTACTGATGCTGTATAAAAGTCACAAAAGGACCTAGCTTGACTTTCAAACTCTCAGAAGAGTTTGCAGTAATAGCAGTAAGAAAATATGGATGAGGTGATCTGGAAATGGTGGAAATAAGTGCAAAACCCCACATGCTTTTTAACAGAGTCACTTCTCAAGTTAGAGCAGGGTTAATGCTTGTATGAAGATAAATCTCATTAAAATGCATTAATTATACTTTGCAAATAAGAGCTGTAAGACCCTGAAAATGAAAGCTTTAGGAAGCCACAGGATTCAGCATGCTTGGGGCTAAATGGAAGTCATTTCCATGCCACTCTTCCCTGCTGTGATGTTAAGGCACTTTTGCAGATAGGGTTACTGACACGCCACACTTAAATATCACATGGCCTAACATTTAGCAAGAGCATCTGTGTGTCTGGTGGGGTGAGCAGAGGTGGGAAACGGTGTGGTGAAGAAAAGGCATGTTCCAAACAACTAGAGCAAATAAACTTTAAAGCCTTTTAATTTTGCTTAGAGAGGAGCACAGAGTGTGAGAATATACCAGAGCTTGAATCAGTGTAGATTTTTTATGTGCTAAGTTAATCAGAAGAGCTGCAAGGACATGATTGCAATGCACAGCAAATTGATCCATTCAGTCAATTCTACACTGGGACAAAGGGGACTGCTTCAGTGTAGCTACTCTAATGGGACTTTGTTAGTGCCAAATGCCAGAGGGAAGATTCCCAAGGGAAATTCCCAACCCCTCTGCATTGTGCAGGAGAGAGTGGGCTGTGGCCACAGAAAGCAGAGCTCTCCGAGTGCACAGCAGTGGGGAGATGTACTGAAGCTGCTCTAAGTAGTTCCTGCACCAGCTGCCATTCTTATACCCTGACCTACCATTCATGCACTCCTGACACACGAGGCATGCTGAAGAAGGAACAGGGGCTTATACAGAAATTCATTTAGAACTGAAGGCTACTAGTGTTACTTACAGCAGCTGATTAATCCGTGATGTTGCAAGCCAGGTAAGCTTCAACACATGTAGACACACCACGCTTGTGTACTAAAGGATCTGCGTTGCTAGTAACACTAGTCCAAGAACCGAGGCAGCCTGAGCATAGCCGTGTGGTTTCCTGACATCAGTCTTATTTCACTCACCTCTCAATGGATTTGTGAATTCGCCTCCACTGGGGGTAGTGCACTTCCTGTTCAAAGCCACCTCCTTTGGCTCTGGCCTGCTGAGCCACGTTCAGTGAACGGGTATCGATGATGTACCCACGCTTCCCTGCCCGCAGAGTGGCATTAATAAGTTTTTCATCTTCCTTACACCGGCGCCCATTCGTGCCCGTGAGAGGCTGGCTACTCCGCATCATCACCTAGGACAGAAATGGGAGAACTGCATGTGGGGAAGGGGGACAGCCATCTAGTTCACCAGTGGAGAATCGCTCTAGTCCACTACTGCTTTGCTCAGCTAATTCTACACATTCCTAATAATGAGGATGCTGCTTTCCTTTATAATTGACATCATGGCAATGAAGTTACCTACTTCCCCTGAACTTCAAATGGATACGCCTCAAAACTGCACCATGCTCTTATACTACATTTCCATGAATCTGGATCAGTCAAGCTCAGATGTTCCCCCTCCAGTACATTTCCTGCTTCCTCCTCCTCTTGCAGCATTCGCCTTTAAGTTCCACCCCATAATCTGGAGGCACAAGGGACAAACATACTGATCCAAAGAGCCTGACATCTGGAAAAAACCTTCCCATTGCTCTAGCCATCTTTCAACTATAGCTGAAAACACTGCTTTTCTCCCTTGCCTATGATTAGAAGTTCTGATTCCTGTCCTTCCTGCTACTGCCCTTTTGCCTCACCATTAGGTTAAATTATTTCTAGTTTTTTTTCTAAAGCCAACCTGGAGGTTACTTTATAACAAACATCCTCATATTAGGCCTTCCTCTCGCCTCTTCTTTATTCACAAATCTCCATCTTTGCATCCTCTAGTTCCAAATCCCTGCTTAATCTGAATCAGTGGTTAAATCTATACCCAATGCTACCTGTAAAACATTTTAGTTCATTGTGTGTTATAAACTCATGCATCACTTTCTTCAGTGATTAGACTAATAAATCACAGCTCCCTCCTTGTGTTGACTTAAGGCCTTCATTGAAGATAGGAGTTTACAGATCACAAACCTATTACATGTAGCTAGTCTAAGCAATACATGAAAGAGGCGGCTTTGTGTGCCCATGAGAGCATCCAGTGTCACTAGATTTGGGCAAGGTTTAGCCAAATGTGATGGAAGACATAACAGCCAGAAGTTCAAGGACTCTGCCTTGAATGCTAATACACTTCTATTTTTTTTCAAGCATGTATATTCCAAGGATTAACAGCAATCTCTAATCCATTTTCAAGCAGACAAGAACATGGATGCACCAAACAGAAAGTGAACAGTGGGAGCTACTTATTGCCACCCTTGAGATTGCTGATGGATTTCACATGTGGACAAAGTGCTACATCAGACCAAGCTATCAGTTCATCTGATCCAACACATGGCTCCAGCAGTGCTCATAAAGGATGCTTCAGCAGTGGATACAGGGAAACATTCAGTGAGGACTCGCGTGACACACTGCCTACAGGAAACGTTCCTTAACAACAGGCAGTTAGTGGCTGGTTCAGCTGCCAACATCCAGTAGATTTTGACAGCATAAACATGGAAAAGTGCACGTGAGGGAGAGGATTTAGGATTTGGGACAAGCTTGTGGCAGAGACCGCTCTGCTCCTTCAGAGAACAGGTACAACAGAAGCAGTGTTCTGCAAGTGCCTCAGTCGTGACCGACATGGACCATGTCCAAAGGATAAAGCAGTGCCTGCAGCCAGCGAGCAAAATCCAATTAATCACTTCTCAGTTGCCAGCCTAGAGTGTAGGCTTCCTTTGCCAGTACACAGAGCTTCACCTAGCCTCCCCTGGTTTAAACAAGTGACTACCTAAATGGCAAATGCAAGGCATTATACCTTGAGAAGAATAAAAAATACAAAGTGGATGGCAGCCCAATGGAAAAGGATCTGGGAGTCTTGATGGATCACAGACTTGAGATGAATCTGCAGTGTGATATACCAGCACAAAGTGACTGTGCTTTGGGGATACATTAATACAGAGATGTCAAATTTATCCAGATGAGGGGCATTGGGCGAGCTTGAGTCAGTCTGGGACCATGCATCAGAGCCAGCACATGTGGCCAGTCCAACCCCATGTCACATGCAGCATACTCTGGCCCCACACCAGGGCTTGTGCTGGATGGGGTGTGCAGGCTGGACCCAGAGCCCTGGGTGCTACACACGGGACAGAGGGTCCAGAATACAGGCTGCATGTAGCACCCAGAACACAGCACAGTGCTGCATACAGCACGCACTCTGACCCGACCCCCTGGGCTGCATGCAACATGCGTGGCCCAGGGTCCAGGCCACGCCTAAGTCTGGTTCCACATCCGGCACACAGGGTCAATCTAAGCCCCTTGGGTTGGATCCAGCCTGTGGACCTCACGTTTCACACCCCTGCATTAACAGAAGTAGACATGGGAGGTGATAGTGCCTCTCTGCTTAGCAATGCTCAGGCCTCACCTAGAGTGATGTGCACAGTTTTGGTCTCAACATTTTAAAAAGGACATGGAGAAGTTAGAGAGGGTCCAGAGGCAGATAACAAAAGTGAAAAAGGGCTTGGAAGGCAAGTCATATGAGGAGAGACTGAAGGAGCTAGGCATGTTCAGCTTGTGGAAAAGGTGCTGAAGAGGGGACATGACAGCAGTCTTCAAGTATTTGAAGGGCTGCCATAAAGAGGGAAAACGACTTCTCTCTTGCTGCAGAGGATGCAGACCAATGGCTTGAAGTTGCTGCAAAGTAGGATTAAACTGGATAACACTTAGACAGTGAAGCAGTGGCACAGACTGCTCAGGGCAGGAGGAATCTCCATCGCTAGAGGTGTTCAGGAAGAGGTTGGAAAAGCATTCGTCAATGATGATCTAGGAGTAGCTATGCCTATGTTCTACTATGGCTATTTCTCACGCTTCTGAGCTTTGCTGGCTGCCACATGAGGCCAGGAAGGATTTTTTGTCCCTTCCTGCTGCTACATGCATTGGGGGAGGGAAGAATGAGGAGGTGGGGGGATTTTTCACTGGGTGTTGGCTGCAGACAAAGCTGGGGATTTTGACTGGGGCATGCCAATGCTTCTGCTGGGAGATTCCCGACTAGAGGGTCTTGCCCCCCTGCTCAGGATCAGACTGATCACCATGTTTGGGATCAGGAAGGAATTTTACCCCATGGTGAAATTCATAGGGACTTTGGGGGGCTGTGTCTTCCCCTAGTGGGGGTGTGTGGCCCTCTTCTATGGATCTCAAGCATTTAACAACTCTGACAGCAGCAAGACGCTGACCTCCTTTACCCCCCTCCAACTTTCCCTGTGGCAAGTTAGGGTGCTATGTCTTTTGGTCGTGTCAGGGCGGACTGTCTAATTTTGCTAAGAGGTTAGACAATGGATTTGTACAGGATGGTTTCAATAGGAATGCTCCTGCCTCACGCAGGGGGCTGGATTAGATGAGGTCTGAAGGTCCCTTCCAAAAACACTTTTCTATGATTTCAATGGTGATCTCAAAATAAGGTGGAAGATTATGGCAAGCTAACACCTTAACAGTTGTATTAAAAGCCTATAGCACAGGCTCTTTTTCATCAAACAGGGCAGGAGGAGTCTGAACAGATCTTTACACTTCTGCCTAATCCAACCTGCAAACCCCTCTAGTTTCACTTACCATCCCATTCTTCTTATGGTAATAGCTGAGGACCGGGATGCGACCACCATGACGAAACGTTGCAACTTTCCGAAGGGCTTCGTCATCGATGGATTTCGGGACGGTGACAATGGGCGGGTAAGAGGGGCAGACAGAGAACGCCTTATTGACGTAGCTCAGTCGCCAGTCACTAGTCTGTGAAGACAGGCAACAACAGTTTGCTGAGAACAAAACGCTGTAGATCCTGAAGGAAAGGTCAGCAAATGGGAAATTCTAGATTCAAATTCAAACTATCCAACATATTCTGTATGTTTCCAGAGGGAAAACACTTCTTCAATCCACCCAAAGGGGAACCGTCTGGGGCAGAAACTTATTCCTCAGTGTTAGACAGGTTTACACGAAAGGAGCTGGTTAGACTTCTACATATGCCAGTAACACAAAGAACAGGATCAACTCTTGTCCCCATCTCAGAGCACTAAAGACAAGACCAGCGATCCAAGATCCACCTAATGCTGGAAGACTGAATCGTACCAATGTTAATGCAGTTGCTTAGCATTTCTAGTGCTGCTCTCGTGTTCAGCAGTAATTTATGTGCCTCGATCAACCCATAAGCCAGCATAATGATGCACACAGCATTTACCAGAACCCTTCCCATACCTGGGCACTCTCGGTGTCTCAGTCCCATGTCTCCTGGAAGCCAGTATACATGAGAGAACCTGCTGAGCGCTGAGACCAAATGAGCTGGCCCAGGAGGAGCGAGGCATCACTTTATGAGTTCTCAACAGAATTGGCCATGCCAAAACTACTGGAGAGGAATGATCAGACACAACAGCTGACAGATTTCCATAAATCAAGTATTAAATACAATTCACAGCCTACAGCACTCGCTCACTGGGGTCCATACTGGAGGTGAGCTAGAATTCAAACTGCAGCCATACAAAAGCCCAAGGCAGAGGCCTGCTGGCTAGGACCCTTGACCAGTTTGATGGCTGCTTTTGGACCAAGGTTACATTCAGTGCCTGATGAATCAGTTCTTACTGGAGGCTAGGACAAGGAGAACTTTCTGATGAGGAAGTTCTTGTTTTTCCATCTCTAAATGACAGATCCCCTTCTCCTCACCCTGAGAAGGAAGTGAAAATAATAATAAAAAAAAAAATTCTACAAAAGCCAAAAACCTCAAGCTATTATTGCTCTGTGGGTTGTACATTTGGGGGTGGGAATTCCATGGCTGTGCTCTATATAAAATTTAGCAGGGCTGAGAGAGAAACTGCAAAAAGTTCCCCCGAGCAAGAAGCTATTTTCACTGTGGTGGAACTAGAGAAGGTACATCGTTATTCAAACCAGACTAAGACCAAAAGACTGACTGAATGCAGACACAAGCCCTGATGGATTAACGAAAGCTCACATGAACTGGCCTAGCAGTTGCCTGGACTAAAACAAGTGTCTAGCCTTCATTCAAAAGCAGCAGCCTGGCACACATGCAAAAGGCTCCAGGCAAGAAGCAGCTCCTGAAGTGGAAAGCCCCTGCAGTTGCCTGGGCCTCCTTAGCTGTTGCTCCTGCTTTGCTGTGCACAGTGTGTGCTTTAGTCTTGGTGTGAAGCAGTCAAGGTCCTTCTAACTTAAAATGTAGCTCCTATTTCTAACAACATGGTATGTTACTCGATAGAGCAGTGGTTCTCAAACTTTTCAGAGTCAGGGCCTTATCCAGGGCACTAGTAAAGCACTAGAACAGGTTATCTAGAGGTGGTGGAGTCTCCATCCTGGGTGGTTTTTAAGATCCGGCTAGACAAAGCCTTGGCTAGGATGATATAGGTGGGGCTGTCCCTGCTTTGAGCAGGGGGTTGGACTAGATGTGACCTCCTGATGTCCCTTCCCACCCTCATTTTCTACGATTCTATTTCTGAAAGGGGCAGCACCCCCAGTTGAGAACCACGGTTGTTGCTGCCTCAGTTTACCCAAGTACTTCTCAGCCAGGTGTTGCTGCTTCCAGGTAAAACTGCCCCGTATGCCTGCTACACAGCCAGCCCAGGGATGGCTGTCGCACATGTTCTTCCCTGCATTATGGCTCTCTGATAACCCTAATGCAGAACAGGAGAGCTGGTTCAGGCTGTATCCCTTTCCTGATGCAGTCCTGCTCCTCCATACCTCCTAGAAACAGGTGCGAGGGTAAGACTGTCCTGCACGCCTCTGGTTTCAGGAGGAAGGTGGGGAGGGCCAGACTAGGAAGGGCTACAGCTTGAGCCAGCTCTGCTGTTCTGCTTTAGGCTTACCAGGGAGCCCTAATGCAGCAAGAGTACATGTATGCTGTAGCCCAGCACACAGGGCAGTTATATCTGGCTGCTGCCGTGGTAGCAGCACCTGTGTTGTGGCATCCATGATGGAGGTAGTCCACCCCAGCTGAGAACCACTGTGATAGGGCCTAAAAACGTGCGTCTTCCCAAGAAAGGTGAGCTGTGCTAGAACGTCAACGCATTACCAGAAAATCTGGGCACAGCTATTGCATTGCTTGTATCTGACAACTGAACACGCTGCCAGCACCTTTCAGCGCGCTGCCTAGACAGACATCTACTGGTGCTGCCACGTCTTTAGCCATTCTTTTCAGGCAGGGGTGTACAGTTGGCACGACCCGATAGCTCCAGATGAGCCCAGACACGGGTGAAGTAAAATGATCAAGACGTAGTAGGCTACATCAGCTGTTTCCTTGTAAAGGCAGAGATGTTCAGTAGAATTAGATTTTTTGTTTTAGCAGCCCATTTTGTTTTCAAATGGTCCCCAGCAACGGTATTTCCCCAGCATCCCCATGGGAGGTCGTGCCACACCACAACAGATTTCACTGCCAGGATGTATGTGCAAAGTTTGAGTTCAACTCACCAATATGTGGCAGGGAGCCACCCATATCTCACTACCCCAAGCAGATGGCTCTCTTGGGATGAAGCTGGATACACAACCTGTTGGCTGGGATAACTTACACCAGTATATAGTTACTTCTGACTTCCCAAGGGGGAACTTTACCTTGGAGTGGAATGACCTTGCAGTGGTGTAAGGCTGTATACGCTACACGCTCACTCCACATTTAGACTGGATATAGGTAGGTTACAGCAAGCATTAATGTGCTGATCCCCCCACACCCATGGCAAATAAATCAGTTACATCTCCAGTGAGAAAGTTCAAATGCACTTTTCATGGCACAGGCTGCCAGGAAATGACTGGTGTAAAAAGGAGAAGAAACAGATTGCCTTGATTTATCTCCACCCCTGCCTTCCTGCTCCTCACTGTATGTAACATGAAGCAGATGGTATTGTCATACCCATCGAGTTATAATATGTCATGGCACTGAAAGGAAGAAGACTGCAGCAATTAGTATCATTTGTCTTCTGGAGCTCACCTAACACTGGGAGAGATCCAGTAAACTACTTCAGTGTCAAAGGATGGCAAACAGCAATGCCACTATCTTTTGCTCTCTTTTTTTTTAGGGATGTAACATACACCAAAGCAGCAGCAATCAATCATTACTAGCTGTCAGTGTGTGTAAGCCAAGGTTAAACAATGTGCAGCAGCAGACTCGGTTTGAGAAATGAGGCAAGTATAGAAAGAGTCTGCGTGAAGTCTTATTAAGATCTTCCAGGCCAGTATGTTAATAAAACGATAAAACCGGATGGAATTCAGAGAGGACACTAAATTGCCGTTGCTAGTTCCTACTCTCCTGAAACAGAAAGAATGCAATTTGCAAAGAGAGCAGAAAATAAAAGCGAGATTCAACTTGAGAAATGTGAATGCAGAGACCTGGCTGAAACTTATAAACAATGTCATCAAAAGGGCACTTCAAAGCTGCTTTAGAATGGACTCTTTTTTAAATACAGTTTTCATTTTCTACAGAAAAAAAAACGGAGACAAAGAACTGATGTTCAAGAGGATACTGGAAAACCAACCAGCCACAATTTCCAATTCATAAAAACAGCCATTTTTGAGAAAAGACCTTTTTTGGGGGGGAGGGTGGGGAGAAGAAGAAAAAACCCAGCTCTCACCTGTGCTAAGAAATGCACAGTTAAACTACTCAGGCAACCCTAACTCTGCTGTGCAGTGACAAATGTGAAAGGGAGAATAAAAATAATCCACTATGTCAGAAGATCAATGTCATCTCATCTGGGACTACAAAAAGCATTAATCAGAATCACACTGTTATTGCACATCATCCGTATAGGGTCTTAACTGCGCATTTCTTACCTTAATACATCTGGATTTCTTTTCAAACTAATCTTTTCTCTGAGCTGCCTAAATCGCTAACGCTTGGTGACAGCGGCCTTGTACATTTTGAAGACTTTTGAGAAAAACAACTGCATCTTGCAGGATTTTTTGTTGTTGTTGCTGTAGTCTGGAAATACTGTTTCGAATATAAACCCTAAAAGAATATGCGATTTTTTGTATGGAGATTGTAGTTATACTCAGTAGCCCAGCTAGGTACAAAGTAGTTAAACGTCATACAGACTATTATTTTTTTTGGAACAGGCAAGAATATCTTTTTTTGGACCAACTGCATGGTTGGGAGACGCTGGTTGGGATAAAGTTTTTTTTAATTTTAATACAAATCATCCCTTTAGCATCTGACAGAGGTAGGCTGTCGCCTATGAAACCCTGCACCTTTCCGAACAAGTTAGTCTTTAAGGTGCCTTCCTGTCTTGCCTTCTGCCTTAGCAAACATAGGACAGGAATTATTTATTTACTTCTAAAGTATTTATAAATATTTAATAAATTATTTAGACATGCTGTTCATTTCTCCATACATAGAAGATGGTTAATGTTTGCTTATAGAGTTCTTACGTGCATCCCATGCTATATGGGCATGTCCGTCTCGGTACCGTTTTCATCCTGTGTTACAAATAATAATAATACGATGCTCAAGGATGAGTTCTATTCCTTTCCCACAGCGCTCGAATGAAGACATCAAACCTGCGTTTCCATTGACTTAGTTCCATAATTGAGCTGCTGTAACTGCTGATGCGATAGATTTATCACAATAGCCTCGCATGGCAGAGATTCATGACAAGAATGCCGCTGCCAGGCCTTGTAGATGATCCCTACTGAGCAGGGATCATTAACGAACACAGTAAATGCTATCAGCAGATGAGAGCAACCAACACTTGTATACTGCCTCCAACTTCTCTAAAGCAAATGAAATCATTTGCCTTAACAGGTCCTTCTATAACATCCAAAGGGATTAAAAAGCAAGTATGTGTAGCAATGTGGCACCACTACGCAATGTTCAAAAGCCTTGAGCTAAACTGTTGAAATGTGATTGCTTCAAATGTACTATCAAATTATATCACCAGTGCCAAACGAGACATTCTGTCAATCGGTTTTACAGGTGGAAAGTTGGGCACAGAACGGGCACTCTGGGAACTCGACAAAACCCAAGTGACAAACGAAAAGGGCAAAGCGCACCGGCATGCGTTTCGTTTCACCTCGGCACTGCCCAGCTCGAAGGTTCCCATGCAGAATTGGGCCGAGGGTAAAATTAGTGCAATACCAAGACCTGTGATGTGGGTGAATTTGAGGTGCTGATAAACAGTCTGATATTAAGGAAATGAGGGACACAGGCAAAACAATTCTAGTCTGACTACTTAAATATGAAGGAGGCATCCTCCTATTTGATCTAAAACTCATTCAAGCCTCAAAATTGTTAAAGCAGCCATTAACTTGCTCCCTCCTGTCTAAATAATGAAATCAAATGAGCAGGAAATATCCAAGCAACAGTAATTTAACTGCTATTCTAGGAAAGTATATCTATGCTGTTTAAATGAGCCTTGCACTGCCATTCCTATAAAAGAAATGGAGTCTAGAGGTTTGTAATAAAAGCCTGGGATCAATTGACATCTCTTAAATGTTCCCATTGCCATGGATCAATATTTCCAAATGAAGCCTAGCATTATAAGTCAGTCAGTTCCGTAAAACTAAGCTTTCCAGATGTTAGATGCCCAGAAAGCCAAAAGATAAGTTATCTGAACACTTTTTATCTGAGCACTAGTCTTCTTTTTGTATTTGAAGGGAAATACAAAGTGAAACATGCTGGAAGCAGAAGGGCTCTTTAGAGGTGAAGACAATAGTAGGAGGTCTTTGGTTTTATCACTCGTTTAGTCTCTGATATCTAAAGTGAACGACTGCTGTTGAAATTTCACTCTCCACATCTATTGAAGTGGAATCTTTTTCTGATCTCACTCCTCCAGGCTTTTGCAAGGCACCCACTACCTCCACCTACACTGCAGTGTGCTCTCACGTACCCCTTTTCTCAGACAACACAGCACTTTCACCACTCGCCATGTGATTCCTATCAAAGTGCCTCAAAATCTCTTCTGCTGAGCTAAAGGGATGTCTACGACTTTGACCTCAAACAGAAAAGTACTCTTGTTACATGCGTTGTATCACTGAATTTAGATCAAAGTAGGAATACTGGTCCTACATAAAGAGGTTGCTTGCTATGGCTTTAGGCAAAAGATGAAGCAAAGGCAGTGAGATCACTATAATCCTAGAACAAAGAAAGAAAGGCCTTCCATTTCCAAACAAATTTAATTTTCTAAACGATCATATCAACTAGCCCCGGCAAACAGCAAAGAGGTTAGTTATTAGTCCATATACGGGAAACAGCAAATGTTTCAGACATTAGACTCAACTACAGCTTAAAGAAATCAATGCTATTTTTTGTTCTGATGATGTACTAATGGATGTGGTATATGGAGTCTGAAGCAATGTGGTGGCTGTGCATACATATTGTAGCTCTGAAGGGTGGAATATTCTGGGCTGGCAGCCATTCAACTGTACCTGCATTGACACTGGTGAGAGCTGTAGTGTAGACCAAGCTCCTGTTGCTGGATCCTTTACTGCTTCATGGATTAAACTTGCTGAATGATCTAATCAACATGGTGGTAAAAACAGATCTGCCCATGAAAGCCTTCTCTACACAACAGATACTAGCAACACTAGAAAAGTGATGCTTGAGGGGGGACACAAAATACTAAGTGGTGAAGAGAGAGTCCATAGGGATTTATTACTTACCGTCTTTCACAGCACAAGAACTGGGGGTCACAAAATGAAGCTAGTAGGTAGTAAGTGTAAAACTAACAAAAGGAAGTTCTTTTTTCATAGAGCGTGGAATTAAAGCGTGGAACTCATTGCCACCGGATGTTGTGGAAGCGGACAGTTTATCCAGATTCAAAAAGGGACTGATTCATTCTTGGAGGAACGGTGAATCAGCAGTTATTGAGCCTGGGAGTTAGGGATACAGCCTCTGAATGAGAACCTCCTGGGCCTGAAATACTGGAGGCTGTAAGTGGGGGAAGAGCAGGACGACGAACCCTGGTCATACCTTGCTCACCTCTCCCTTTCAGCATCCACTCTTTGCCACTGCGTGACACAGGATACTGGGCAAGATGGACTTACGATCTGTCCAGGAAATAGCCGTTCTTATGTACTTATGAATACTGGTGTACTGATCTAGCAGAATAAACGTAGGAACAGGATTCCACCTCCCTCATAAATGAGGCTTCAGAAAGTTTAGAACTGTATCCAGCCATTTATCTCTAAATTCCAAGCAGCAGCTGGAGGAAAAGGCTCTTTTCAGAGATATAATTCAAAACACTGTCCCCACACCCCCACTGCCCACAAAATAAAACTCAAGTTTAAAACACAACCAGCCAGACTTCTTTATACATCATAAGAAAAGGAACATAGTCCTGTCTCCACCCACCTTCACAGGTTACCTTTACATACGTCTCAAGAATCCCCTTGTGTGTGATAAAGAATGAAGGCCAAGCAGCCAGCCACAACTTCCTACAAGCTACTTTTAGCCTATGAACACTAGGTCTGAGCATTTATTTAATACACTCCAACGTTCAATCCACGTGCACTGCAGCTTTCCACTGTGTGACTCTACAAGGGCTGGATGCCAACAAAAATCCTCAATATCCAACTTACCACTGAACTGAGCAACTCAAACTCTCGCTCAGGCAGGAAGGAGTGCCAGCCATCCTCCACAACTTCAAACATGGGGCGGTAAAAGAAAGGATACATCAGTGTGACTGAATCCAGCGTGGACAAGGCCTGTGAAAAAAAGATGAAATGCTCTGTTTGCTCATTTGGGGAGATATTTTATGTCCAACGCATCTGTAAGAGGCTCCCTTCTGGCAGTGTTGACAACAATTCTAGCCGTTGTTCCTGCTCCCAGTGTGGAGCCGCTATCCCACTGCTGCCTATGTATTTTATCCTGTAACTATTAAAGGCAAAATAGAGAACCATCACTGGGGGCAGAAGCAGGGGCCAGAACAGTGGGCATCTTCCCTTCCAATGTAGCGTCCACTTCACTGAGCCACACTTTCTCTAGCTTGCTCTGCTTCTGGCTCCACGTATTTTCCATGCTTAGTTACCATGTGGTCTAGTTATAACAAAAGGGGGGTCGTGGCAATGGCTAACCCGTGACCTGGTGGCGAGGATGCTTTTCTGGGAAGTGGGAGATATAAGTACAAATCCACTCTGGGAGAGGGGCTTTAGAAGTTCGGGCTCCCCGGCACTGGGCCACTGGCCTAAAACAGAGGTTGGTAATATTTTAGTGTGAAGGAGACGGGGGCTGCATGTGTGAGCTACCTCAAGCCAGCCCTGCTGCCACCACAGTTGCTGCTCCCCGCTGCAATGCTGCTGCCGTGGCTTCTCTCTACCAGGTGGGTGAAGTCATCCATTGCCAAAGCTCCCTGAAGGTGGCCCATAGAAAAAGTGGCATCCTGTGGTCTCCATAGCCAAGACCTATACTAAAAAAGTGGGAAGGCACCCCTCCATTTTTCATGGCTTATATGGAGTTAAGTGCCTTTCCAGGAAGGAGAAGGATATCCAAAAATCCCTGTAAATAACCTGAAATGCCACTGATGCAGCTAAAATTAGTAGCTTAACTGCTACTCACCCATGTAAAGGTAGAGTCAATTTGGGCCTACACAGATACTTGGCCCACACGGATATTTTGTGGGCTGTCAACCTGTAGTTGCTCCCACAGGTAACAATATTTGCCCAAAACCAACCTGGGCTGAAACTAGCAACCCTGGCATGAAGTGCTTCAGGTTGTATTACCCATCTGCAGTCACTTGCCAAACTGCCTCAATTCTCATTTTGCTGGTGCTGATTGTATTATGTTGCCACGTAAAAAAAACCCACCCTTTTTTTTGAGACTTCGCAATTTTAACACAAAAAAAGCAAATGCTTTTCGTTTGATGCAGCCCTGCTGAGATAGCCCCGCTTGGAAGAAGATGACAACACATAGCTAGAGTATAAACTAAGTTTCTATATAATTACCCTTAAAAACACACTAGATGGGAAGTTAATTGCTGTAATTTAAGTGTGGTATAATTTGACAACATTGTAATTTAACTAACACAATGGTGCGCACAGAAGCAGATGAAATGCTCCAGAGACATCTCCAGAACGCCCACGGTTGCTTTCTGTAGGTGCGTCTAGGTGATGCAACTCCTAGGGACTACATTTGCATAACACTACGGTGTAAGTGAGGAAACAAGAGGCTCATTAAGCAGCACCAGCAAAATAATATTCACCCATGTATACAAAACTACAGCTTTGTACGGCCAAATAGAAGTTTGCTATGTTTTGCTGTTTAGACAAGCAAGATGAGACTGATCAGCTCCACTTTGTTCTAATTCTCCAGCACAGTTCTGGCGTGCTTGACTTCTCCCTAATCAAGCAACTTGCCACAGTGTTTAAAAAGTTGAACTACTGTATTTACTCATAGAATCTAAGAAAATGGAGGGTGGGAAGGGACCTCAGGAGGTCACATGTAGTCCAACCCCTTGCTCAAAGCAGGACCAGCCCCAACTACATCATCCCAGCCAGGACTTTGTCCACCCAGGTCTTGAAAACCTCCAAAGATGGAGATTCCACCACCTTTCTGGGTAACCTGTTCCAGTGCTTTACTACCCTCCTAGTGAGAAAATTCTTCCCAATATCTAACCTCAGCTTCCTGTGCTGCCACTTGAGACCACTGCTCTTTGCTCTGTCATCTGCCACCACTGAAAAGTCTAGCTCAGGGGTGGCCAAAATACGGTACAGATCTGGCCTGTGAAGAGACTCTGGCCAGCTTGTGGCTGGTCCCTCAGTCTTGCCCGGCCCAGGTGTCATCCAGCCTGTGACATCCCGCCGCCCCCTGGGCATCCCAGGCAGCAGCGGTAACTCCTTCCAGCTGCTGCCGCCACTGTCCCCAGCCCCATACTGGCAGGGACCTGCACTCAAAGCCCCAACCCCAGCCCACCCCACGCCAGACTTGCCCACCCATGCTGAGCAATGGCACCTGCTGAGCAGAGGCTGCTGAGCCCAGGCCGCCCTGCAGCTCCTCTGCACTGCCACTGCTGCCCTGCTAGGTGACCCAGTGACAGTGGCAGAGGAGCTGCAGGGCAGCTTGGGCACAGGTTCTGGGCAGCTACAGCAAGAAAGGCCCAGCAGCGGTGAGGAGGAGGGGCTGCTTTTCCCTGGCACCAAGCAGAAGCTTCTGCCTGGCCGCCGCTATTGCTCAGTGTGGGTAGGCGGTCCGGAGCAGATGTGGTTGGGGGGGGCCAGGGTTGGGGCTGTGCGTGCAGGTTCTGGCTGGTCTGCTCCAGCTGGGGTGAATCTGGAGCAGGCATGGGGCAGACAAGGGGACAGAGCTGAGGCTGCGCACTGCTGGCAGTGGCAGGGAAGAGCTCCAGGGTGCATGAGCTCTGGGCTATTGTAGGGGAGGAGAGAGAAGGGCTGCTGACCGACGCACAGTAGCTCCCCAGAACTGCCTGTGTGGCCCAGGGGCCCAAATAATTGCCCGCCCCTGATCTAGCTCCATCCTCTTTAGAACCACTCTACAGGTAGTTGAAGACTACTATTAAATCCCCCTTAGCCTTCTCTTCTCCACTAAATAAGCCCAGTTTCCTCAACCTATGCTCATAATAAGTCATGTCCCCTAACCCCCGAACCATTTCCATTGCCCTCTGGTGGACTCTCTCCAATTTGTACACATCCTTTCTGTAGGGGGCGGCGCAAAACTGGACACAGGACTCCAGATGTGGGCTCACCAGTGCTGAATAGGGGGGAAGAATCACTTCCCTTGATCTGCTGGTAACGCTTTTACCAATGCAGCCCAGTATGCCATTAACCTTCTTGGTAACAAGGGCATGCTGCTGCCACAGATTATCGATCACTGTAACCCCCAGGTCCTTTGCTGCAGAGCTGCTGCCCAGCCAGTCAGCCCCCAGCTGGTACTGGCACAAGGGACTGTTGTGTCCTAAGTGCAGGACTTTGCACTTGTCCTTGTTGAACCTCATGAGATTTCTTTTGGCCCAATCCTCCAATTTGTCTAGGTTGCTCTGA